GATTTTAAAATTAAATATTATACCCCTAAAAAAAATTAAATTTCATAAAAATAAATATTAACTAAATTTTAAATATTTAATAATTTTAAAATTAATATTAGACGATATTTAATAATTTTAAAAAATATTTTGAATATTTAATAATAAGAAAATTATTGACATTTTTTATATAGGTGAAATAAAAAAAAAAATATGAAGAATTTTAAATTCTTACTTTTTTAAAAAAATTATAAAATTTAAATTTTTTTTACAAATACTTAAATCTAAAATTTTATATAAATTATTTATATAAAAAAATCTCATTTCAAGATATTTAAAATATTTTTAAACCAAATAAAATACTCCATTTAAATTCCTCTCCATTAAACATTCTATAAATCTTAAACCCGTCAAACACGTTACTTGATCTAATAACACACTGTTGGGATACAAACAAGTCCCACATCGATAAAATAAAACAACAAATAATAACTTATATAATACAAACATACTTCAATGATTGAGAGGCTTTTTGGGTGATGACCAAAAGCAAAACTATGAGGGCTAAGGCTCAAAGCGGACTCATAAAATATAATGTGCTATATAAAAACAGATTCCGCTGTATGAAAGGTTAGGTCCCTTGTTTGAGGGGAGGATTGTTGGTAGGGATGGCAACGGGGCGGGGCGGGTACGGGTTTTATGATACTCGTCCCCATCCCCGCAAGTCAAACCCAAACCCGTCCCCGTACCCGTCGGGTATGGGATTTTCATCTCCATCCCCGTCCCCGTTGGGTATCGGGTATACCCGTACCCGTCAATTTTTTTATTTTTTATTTTTTATAAAAAAAATATGATATTTTTAAATTATTTTTTTATTATAATTAAATTATTTATCTATCTCATACTATAATAAATAATTACACATAAAAAATATTAAGTTTTTTTAATATAATTAAATTGAAAGTGGGTATTAAATTAAAAATGGGAACGAGGACGGTTACGGGTACGGGTATGGGGCGGGTAAGTACCCGTACCCGTACCCGTACCCGTACCCGATTTAATATATCGGATTTTACCCGTACCCGTACCCGTACCCGGTCAAACCGGGTATTCCCCGTTAAAATCGGGACAGGTTCAGGTATTACCCGCGGGTACGGGTATACTTGCCATCCCTAATTGTTGGGATACAAACAAGTCCCACATCGATAAAATAAAACAACAAATAACAACTTATATAATACAAACATACTTCAATGATTGAGAGGTCTTTTGGGTGATAACCAAAAGCAAAATCGTGAGGGCTAAGGCTCAAAGCAGACAATATCTCATCATTGTGGAATATATTTGTGTAATAACCTTATAAAAATATCCTCTCAGACAAATACCATAAAATAACTCCATCACACTCGTATAAAGGTCACAACTAAAGGAAACTAAAGTTCAAGTCGCTCCTAATTTTTTCCTACAAAATATATTGTGTACTCCTGAATTCAAATTTGATTTCCTATCAGTTAGTTACTTAATTATTACATAATTAGATATTAACATGCCTGATGCGCGGGTTGATAAATTAATATACTATATATTTTGAAAAATTAAATTAATTAATAATAAAATATTTATTATGTACTTATTAATTAAAAAAAATCGTCAAAACTACTTTAAAAATGGTTGTTTATACATACTCTAATCTTAAATTAGACAATAATATAATAATTCTTTTTATAAAGTTACAATAGAGACCTTTATAAAAAATATTCCCAAAAAAATTTATTATGTAAAAATGTTTCATAATCAAACAACTAAAACTTTGAAAAATCAATGACTCCGGTTTACGGTTTATATTGAGGTCTCGGAAAAAATTGATATTTCATTTTAATTTGTTGTGTTTTTGTGTAAAAAAATGTGAAGTAGATCGAGTTGATAATCGTAGAGTACCTTCTGATATTTGTGTAAAATTTCATAGAATAATATATTTAATATGATGACAAAATAAATTATTTAAATATGTATTGAATTGGCAATTACATGTATGTTACTTTAAAAATATAATTATACTTTAATTTACGTTTGAAATTTAAAAGAAAAAACTAAACGATACTTAATTTATAAAATGTTTATTTTATGCATTATAAAATTATTTCACAATCAATATGATCGAAAATATATGGGATGAATTTCATATTTATTAGAAATGATATTGTAATACATGATAAGAAAAAATAAATCTAGTAATAATATACAACAAAAAAAAATATTTCTCATGCCTCAAATGATAGAATTTCATAGTATTAAATTACATTATTTGCATAATTAATTTAAATCGATGTTTATTGATAAATTTTGTACTTTCTCTTACTAAATCACTTATGAGGAAAGGAATTTTAAAATTTATTATTTTTGACTTTTAAAATTGGTTCTTTAATCAATTTTGAAAAAGTTAATTTAAAAGTTAGACTTTTAAGATTAATTATTAACTAATTTTTAAATTTTTAAATTTTAAGATTGATAATTTTATAATCGATTTTAAAAGTCTAACTTTTAAAATTAGTTATAAAATAACTGATTTTAAAAGGTAAGACTTTTAGAATCGATTATTCAATAACTAATTTTAAAAGTGATGATTTTTTTTTTTTTTGTAGAAATCTAATAAAAATTCCCTCTTTTTGTAGAAAAAATTAAAAATCAGAATTCTGCAGCCATGGTCATGGGTTCGCAGCCATAGACGTGAGAACCTGGAATGCAATCAAGATGCACCAGAGAGTTGCAGCCATGGTTGTGGGTTTGTAGCCATAACTGTGAGAATCTGGAGTGCAATCAAGAAGGTTCCAGAGACTTGCAGTCATGACTGTGGATTCACAACTCAAGCCATGGGATACTAGAGAGTAAGAAAAAGATCTAGAGAGTTACAACCATGGCCGTGAGTCTACAGCTGTAACATTGGATTTGTTTTTTAGGTAATTATTCTCATTTTTTACTAATATATTTTCATGTATAGTACCTTTTTTTTTAAATAGAAACATATATTACTTTACCTCTTTCCATAAAAAAATATAGCCCTTCTAATCATTTTTACAAATAATAATAAAATTATATATTGAAGTAATAATATATATTAAAATATTTTAATTAAAATTTGTGTTTTAAATTTGGATGGGTTGAAAATGGATTAACGTGGTGATCCAACTTATTAAAGTAGGCCAACACACCAATAAATAAGGTGAATTATATTTTTTAACTTGTTTTCTTTGGTGGACCAATCCGTCCCACCTTGTTTTAGGTAGATTAACCGATTTTGTCACCTTGTTGACGGTGTATGCATACCTAGTTCACGTTCAAAATAAAATGTGACACCTATTTACCAGCTGAAAAGTCAAGTTTGCAAAGACTATCGAATGATCCTTCTGTTTGCCTGTATTAGAGAAATTTGATACATTTATAGACCACAAACTTATCAGAAGAAAAGTCAAGTTCGCAAAGAAAATCATGCCATTTGATGACCCTTTTGTTAGTGTTCATAGGAGAAATCTGATACATATTATGAGTCTGCTTTAATTTGGTGGTGGTAATTATGCTATAATACTCTGACGTGTTACACACACAACTCAATTGAAATGTGTTTGTAGAGAGAAACCAAACTTAGCATGATAGAAAGAAATTCAAATACTAATGTGCGCCATGAACTACTTAAATACAGATTCCTACCTTCAACTAATAAATTTAGGCAAAAGTATAGTGCGGCCAAGACAAGTCTTCAATGAAAACATAAAGCTAAGTGAAACGTGAAATTGTGATTAAATTTTGAAAGAACTATCCATCATATTACTTTAAGTCTTCAACCAATTCAAGAAAAGTATATGTATGATGTTTTTCCTGAGACAAAATGGGCTATATGCTATATAGATAGAACATTAACTCATGAAGACTGTGGAGTAAATAGAATACTGAACTTACATGACACAAAAGTATGCTAAAACAACTCTATCTAGCCTCTAGCAGTGTCACAGTTAATTCATTTGTTGAAGTCTTAATTTCATTGCTAGTTGAAGATTCTCCAGCAATCTTCATCCTTTCAATCAGAAAAGCGGGTTCCTTAGGTTGTGGCAAATTGTTTTCACTGCTTAACATGAAAATCACTGATGCCATGTTTGGTCTATCCTCTGGATGTAGTTGCACACATAGAAGACCAACGTGAATGCAGCGTAGTACTTCTGATATGGTAAAGGTTTCACCCAAAGTAGCATCAACTAATTCCATTGGAGTGTCCTCTTTCCACAATTTCCACGCCTACAACGTTTTAAATGAAGTTATGATAATGAAGTTTATAATATGTATTAAAATTAAATAGAACAAAGTTATGTTCTTTGTCTTACATGTCCTAATAGATTGAATCCTTGATCTGGAAAGAAAATTCCCCTGTTTTTCTTTCCAGTTACTATCTCCAATAATAGTACACCAAAGCTATAGACATCAGATTTGATAGAGAATAGCCCATCAATTGCATATTCTGGAGCCATGTATCCACTTGATGAAATTGCAGAAATGGGTTAGTTTTATCTTCACAAATTTGAAGAAAATTTAAATACAATATTGAATTTTATTTAAAAGGTCTTAGGAACTTACTATGTTCCAACCACCTTTTTGGTATTCCCTTCTGTTTGATTTCCACTAAACATTCGCGCTACACCAAAGTCTGAAATTTTTGGATTCAAGTCGCTATCAAGAAGAATATTACTTGCTTTCATATCTCTATGAATGATTCTTAGTCTAGAATCTTGATGAAGATAAAGAAGTCCGCGAGCAATTCCAACTATAATGTTAAAGCGCTTAGACCAGTCTAGGAATTCACTTTGGGAAGAATCTGCCAGGTTTCTTAGTCGAGTTAGTCAAGAAAAAAACAAATGAAGTTCTTCAGTCTAAATAAAAGTTATACTTTCTGAATGCTGAGTCACATACCAAAGAGAAAGGAATCTAGACTTTTATTAGGCATGTATTCATAGATGAGCACTTTTTCCTCTTCTTGGATGGAACAACCAAGAAGCTTAACAAGATTTCGGTGTTGAAGTTTGGAACATAATATAACTTCATTCTTAAATTCTTTCGGTCCTTGTCCAGTATTATTTGAAAGCCTCTTCGCAGCAATCTCTTGTCCATTTTCTAGCGTACCCTAAAAATTTAAATCAATTTTGTTCAATAATTGAAACAATGAAGTAAATGGATGGCTACTTTTTATCTTTGCATATTTGGTAATTTACCCTATACACAGGTCCAAAACCACCTTGGCCGAGCCTCTTGTCACATGAGAAGTCATTAGTGGCACGGACTATTGTAGCAAAATCAAAGAAAGGAAGCTCCAAGTCTTCTTCACATGAGTCTTCGTATTTCTTTTCTTCGAATTCTGATGATTTTTCTGTTTTCTCTCAGGTAAACTAATCAGCTTAACATAATAAAATAAGGAAACAGAAACATTCTTATAAAGGCATTTTTATATATCATTCAAGTTCATCATATAAATAATTGTTCCGCAAAACATCCACTAGTAAACATCATCATATTTTTCTGTATCAAGACTAATACCTAACCGCATGCTGCAACTGATATATATTTATTACCAGAACTCCCATTTCAGTGCAAGTTATTAAATAATATGGAGAAACAAAGTTCGATGGAGTTCAGTTAAAGAAAGTTTACCTCCAAGCTTTCTTTTCCGCCAGTACTTATATATGAAAATGAAAACAATCACAAAAGCCAAGAGAATAATCGGAATCACCACTGCGACCACTTTCTTATGCCTTCCCTTTTCTTATTCACGGATAGTTTGTCAAAGAAATGAACCAAATGGTCACTACTCAAAAATATGAAAACAGAAAGATAAAGTAGAGGAAATTCAACAAAGGATTAAGAGCCACACCAGTTTCTGAAGCAACCATTCGAATATATAGATCTTGCCCGGGAAGTGAAGCCACCCTTAAGTCAAGCAAAGCTCCAAACCAAATGATACAACCACTACCATCTCTGATATCTAAACTTGAATATGCAGTGCAAGAACAGTTTTGCAAGCATTTAGCCTTGCAATCCTCAAGTGACAAATTTTCATCAACCCAAGACCCTGCAGTATCTGGCAATTTCAACCCACTAAATTTTTCAAAACCAGCTTTGTTTTTTACTTCACAGCTCCACGGTTCACTAAGCACACAACCTTGACTCCAATCCAATGCCTCATAATTCTGAACTGATTTTGGCTTGAAGCCCCTTAAACACTGGCAGGGTGGTGACTCAGTCACAATACATTTCCCATTTGGACCACAAAGATTGTAGTCGTCACATTTGTCTGTAGGCACTGATGAATAATGACTCCACGTTTGGTTGCCTTCAATCCAATTATAGCGCTGGCGAGAATAAAGGGTTTGGTTCAAAACAACTCTTGTAATCAATGACTTATTCTTCTGGTTGTATCTGTAAAACACTTCATCAGGAGACGACTCAAATTCCAAGTTAAAAAGTGGAGTGGTTTTGCCACTGAATCTAACACCATTCCATGGGCCACTCCTATAATACTCTTTAGAACCTTTCCACATAACCAATTCACGATTGTTACTAAGCACCATACCCCAAGTGAAGTCCCCTGGAGAAGGATCATCCCAATTCTTCCACGCCGTTAAACGCCGGTCAAGACCCTTTTTAAGGTTCCATCCAATCTTCATTCCTGGCAAAAAAGTATCACAAGGGTAGTCAAAACTTTGCCACAAGTAGTTTTCTGAATCTGTGTCTTTCTCATCTCTTAGTACCAAGTTCCCTGAGTCTAAAAGCTGAACAATTAGGCTCATGGAATGTGTTTTGTCAGTTGAGTTTGCTGACCAAACAAGAGTATTGTTGTTGCTAAGGATCACAAGTTTTCCTTGTGTGCTTATGCTCAACTTGCTGGTTTTGTCCTTAACCGGGTTTTCACGGTTGGCAACCCAAACAACGGTTCTAACTGGGATACTTTTGTACCAGATTCCAAGGTAGCGGTTACTATTGCTTGGACTGAAGAAACCCATTTCAAAAGTTCCATCTTTTGAGACCAAGGTAGTGCCATCAGTAAGGGACTGCAAACCGTTAATGGTATCGGATGCAGATGAAGTTGAAGGGGACAATATGAGTAGTTTGGCAAAAAGAAGCGTTAATGTGAGAGGGGCCATTGCTTTGGTAAATTATTGGTACAAAGTGAATTACATTGTCTCTGGCCTAGATATTTTTTATCAACCATTTAGATGAATACCGTGCTTGATAGGAACCTTCCGAGAGAATGATGGCCACGGAAGAAATGATAAGTTTGTAATTTGACTTAAGAATAAATCATTAATTTTATCTCCTAATAGTCTTTCGAGTAGTATTTAAAATATTGAAATTATACAAATACTCTAAAAATCTATTATTATTTGTTTTAGTTTTTGAAACCAAAAATGCTCCTCAACACCGGTAGTAGGCACATGTAAGAGAGACTTTAACGTTCAAGTTAAAAATGGTCTCATGAGTAAGTTTGAATGAATTGATTGGATTAAAAGTGATACATATTCCCCTTTATATATGTGATGAACTTTATTCATTAGTGAGAATATCCTTTTAGGCAATTGTCTGGGGTCATGTGGTTTTTTACCAACTATTGAGATATTGATAAACATAGTTATTCATAATATTGAAATTGTTAATAAGATGTTATTAAGCTCATTTGTACCTGTCCAGTACACAAGTTCCTCAAGCTTTAAGTTTTGGAAAAGTGAACGAATTTAAGATATTGTGACATGAGCTTAATTTAGTTATGATGTATTTTGAGGTTTAAATTTGATCTTAATAACTTTTTGATGTTAAGTCCGAGTGAGATCATGACTTTAGTAATTCGAGTGTATTGAGTTTTAGGTTTAAACTTGACTTTTAATTAAGTTCAAATTCAATTTATTAAAGTGACCTCAGATTCAACTTTTAGATTATGAACTTAGATTCAATGTTTAGAAATAAGCTTAGACTTTACTTATAATAATAAGGTTGTAGTCAATTTTCAAAATATGCTTGGATTCGACCATTAAAGAATTTAAGCTCTAACATTATTTAATAAACATGTAAGTTTTGTTGAGATACAAACAAGATTCTATATCTTTAGAATAAAAGAAGAAATAAAAATATATAAAGTATATAAATACTCTATTAGTAACAGACCAGCTTTTAGGTAATAACAAAAAATAAAACTATGAGAGTTGTTAGGGTTATATATGTTATGATTTGTATTTGTGTTGGAGAGAAAGATACACACTAGAAGGAGGGTTGAATAGTGCATATAAAAAAAACTCGCATTTTTATAGTGAGACAATGAAAAAATGTAGATAGATGAAGTATAGGAAGGTAATCAGACGAAGTGGTAAAATCGATGAAATGACACAAGTATTTTTATACTGGCTCGTCTCTAATCCAAAGACTACGTTCAATTCTCAATCCAACTAGATTGAGTTTCACTATTTTCAACAAGATACAAGTATTCTTTACCATGTCACTTCTGGCTAAAATCAAGTATTCTTTCAACAAGCATCTCTAGACTTAAACCCAAGTATTCTTTAAGCAAGTCTCTTCAAGCTTAACTACTAAGTATTATTTTAAATAAGTCTCTAGACTTAACTCTTACAAATACAATTGATAAGAGTTACAAAATAGCTTCATCTCTTCTAGATGTGATGCTATACAAATACAACACAAAAATTCTACAAAGAACTAGATACAAGATTTTGCAAATAAGATCTTCTTTGTAGTTCTTCAACTAGTTCTAAGCTAACTTGATTAATGAAGACTGCTTGATGAATATTATTTTTTTATGTACAACTTTTTTCTTCATGTATATATCATCACTTTTTTTTTAGTGTGAAGGATACTTATATAGTAGCTTTTGGAGAAGATGACTATTGTAGCAATGTTCAAATTTAAACGATCGTATTTTTTCATATGTTGCTTCATCTGTCTTTCTCATTGTTCTTAAAGAGTACTGTTGATGCATCTAATGTGAACATTTAATACTTATCAAGATGCTTGTACCTCGTATCTGATCCAGGCATCTACTTATTATCATTTCCTTCAACTTTTGAGTACAATAGAGAGTGTCAGTGTAGAGTAATTGAGGCTGGTGTAGAGTAGTCTTTTTCAGTCTCTTTTTTGTGATATCCGCGATTGTGCTTTTTGGAAATTCATGGAGATTTTGTCTTATTTCTCATTAATGCTCTTCACGACTTTTTTGTTTAATTTGCTGAGGAATAATACATTAAATGAAATGTAATGTCAGTCATAATAGTGTTCATTTAATATCAGTTAGACAATTGTACGCTTCGTTTAATTTCTTTCATCTTAAAGATGATATATACTATCTTCACATTTCGTCTCATCTATTTTATTTTTGAAGAATGCTGACTTTTGTTTAAATAAAATATTTTGTTTATCAATATTAAAACTTAAGAGATCATCTGTTGTCTTAAAGACAAGATTTTTTATTTAACAATTTGTTTGAGAGTGATATATTTATTAAGAGAGTTTATATATTGTTATTTTATCGGGTTATTTCACTTACATCTCACATGGGTTTGATATTGTCCACTTTTTCATCACCCGAAAAACCTTTAACTAATGGAGTATGTGTGTGTTTTATAAACTCTTGTTTCTCCTCTTATTTTAATGATATGGACCTTGTTTGTATCTTAATGAGGGTGTAAGCTCAAAGTGAATAATATCTTACCATTGTGAAGTTATGTGTACAAATAATCGATAAAAACAACGTGATATAATAAATTTTATCTTGACAAATATATCCCTCTCAAACAATACAAACCCAATAATCCTAATTGTGATATTAGAGACGATAGTTGGATTCTGTGACAAATAATAACCCATAATAAATACAAATAACAACAATGACAAAAATGTAATACAAAGACATATTCCGTTGAATGATAGATTAGGTCATTTGTTTAAGAGGATGATTATTGAGATATAAAAATAGTTACACACCATTAGAACAAGATGAGAAATAATAGTTTATAAAGCATAAACATATTTCATTGGAAAGAAACCTTTCTTTTAGGTGATAACCAAAAGAAAAACCATGAGAGTGTAAACTCAAAGTGGATAACATCTTACCATTGTAGACTTGTGTATGTAAATGACTAAGAACCCTCTTCTTGAAAAATATATCCCTCTTAGACAAATGCTAAAAACATATCTAACAAGTTAAAATTCCACTTAAAAGAACTAAAGCTCATATTTGACTTAATAAATGTGTAGGCTTGGACTTGATCATTAATGAAATTAAGCTCATATTTAACATTTTGTAGAATAGGTTTGGACTTAGCCCTTGACAAAATTAAGCTCAAAAGCTTAAGTAGTGAGTAGTTTTGAACTCAAAAGCTTAAATATATTAAGCTCATAAGTTTAAGTAGTGAACAACATCAAACTTGGCCTTTAGGGAAATTAAGCTCGAAAAGCTTAAGTAGAGAACAAGCTCAAATTTGACCTTTTTTAAATGTTCTAATCAAAATTTGTTTGTGCTTTGCTTGATTGGGCATAGGTCTCCGCTACCGAACACTCGCAATGGGAGTAACGATAAAAGAGACTCCCATATGCATAAGTGAGAAGTGATCTCACGAGTAAAGTATGAATGAATTAATTGGATTATAAGGGATAATTGTGCCATTTTTATATTGTGATAGAGTTTCCTCATAAGTGAGAATATCTTTATAGGAAATTGTCTTTAAGCAAATATATCTCTTTGTAGCACTTGAATAATAAGATACAATAGTTACTTAACAATCGTTTAGTAGATTAAGCAGCAGTTAAGAGAATGTAGATCCAAGATAGTGAGAAGAAGTGACGATCGACATATAAAATGTTCCAACCAAGGTGCTTAATTAAACCTACATGGTGTGAATGCTTTGACTTTATATTAGTTGACCTGTGTCCTAAGCAAAATTATGCAGTGTAACGAATCATATGATTTTCAAGAATATATGTTCAAACTAATTACATAAAAATTTAAAATTATTTTCAGAAAAAATAAGAATTTCCTTTATATTATCATTTAATATATTAACTTTATCCTGCCTTTACTTATTATATAGAATGATTATTTTTCAAAGGATTTGATTTTAAGTTCAGGAGACCGTTGACTAATAACTGGTGCTCTTATATATAGGTCATTATTAAGGAAATCAAAATATAAGTTTTTCTTAGAAATATAATATTTAATAATGTCAGTGTAACTGTTATTTTTAATAAAAATATATTACTTGACTTTTTAATTAATTTCAATGTTATATATGTAAGTCAACGTAAGGTGGAGTTGTATAATAAATTAACTAGGCATGTAGTTTAAATATATATTGTTGGCTCCACTCCTTGTAGTTAGGTAGTGTTTTGTAGAAAAGAAAAATATAGAGAGAAGAAAAGAAAAGAACGTATAGAAAAGTAGGTAAGAAATATAGTGAAAATTGAGGTTGTTTGATAAAAAGAAAGAACAAAAGTGAAGGGAAGATTGTTGAATTTTGTCTGATCTTGATTTTAATAATGAAATTTTTTTAGACTCAAATAGAGATGACAATGGGACTTTGTAGGGTTGGATAATAGGATACTCGTACCAGTTTCACAAAATAAAAATTTGTCTCATATTTGTATAAGTATCTCTGAAGTGAGTACTCACAAATTTTATAGATATATGTTGATATTGATAGATATGGGTATTTGTGAATTTTTTAAAAAATAAAAAAAGTTTTATAAATATCTTTAAACTTGTATTTGATATTAATTATATTAAAATATTAATAATTAATTTTTAAACTTATAATTAATGATAATTTTTTTGAAATATTAAAAATAATATAAAAAGTATAACATAAAAATATGAATATTTAAGTAATTTTATTTAACGGGTATGGATACTACTATATATGAGAAATGTTCAAATGACACCGACATAACTTTTATCAACTATTATATCACTCAGTAATTTTTAATTAAATGTGAATTTTTTTTTTATCTAACCATTGAATTATAACTTCATATTACTTTGTATATATGTGTATATGAAATTTTGTTAAAATTGAACAACAATTTGAATATACCAAAGTGTTTATATTTTAGTATATTTTGAAATATATATATTAAGTTCATTTTGTTCTATAAAAATGGAATATCAAATTATCTTGGATTAAAATAAATATTTGT